CTCTTCAACCACAAGTATTTTGGACGCAGCGATGCTTCAGCCCATGGTGAGCTCCACAATTAGATGTCCCATACAATAGGAGAAAGAATGCAAAACATTATTTCTCATCCTCTAAACCAGAAGATCTGATTTGCAGGAAACAAAAAAGCAGAAAGATTCAGGGCAACTGCAACATTCTGATGCTCCCCTGGAAGGATCACGCCGATGCAGAGGAAAACTTTCTACCCTGCTTCTGTGCTTCGAGTGAACTCGTATTTGTGTTTCCAGTAAAGAGCCATTTTTACATTAACTGTCTGTAACAGCAGGGAATAGGAAAACTAACACAATCTTTACCTCGTACAAAGGATGATATTGGTGTCACGTGTTCGCTTCTTCAAAAAATGTTTTTTATAAAAGACAACGGGGAAAGCAGAGGAACGATTGACTCTTCCCCGTACCCCCGCGCGAGTAGCGTTAGAGCAACTTTTTGATCCCCTACATTTTTTCCTTCCATCCATCCCAGTCTTCTGACAATGCCAACAATTGCAAGACACTTCTGGAGCTCAATCATGCAATCATCGTGACACTTCTATTTACAATTTGTCTTAGAAAGAGTTTCTCTGACATTGTACTTTGACAAAACAGCCAAGCTGCCAGTTCACAACCTTTCTCTGTCTTATTTACAAATACAACTTGGACGCAGGGCTCCGAACCTCAGGAGCGGGAGCCTTTGGGTAGCACCCTCCCTATTTTTCCCAGCCTGTGCTCTCTGTTTCTTTGTATGGGGAAGGCAGACAGAATCCGACTCCGAAATATTTCCATATTCCTTCCCCCTCCCCTTTTTTTAAGCTTTCATCTTATTGTCCAGATGCAATGCTAACTATTCAATGCAGACGTCAATAATTTTTTTGTCTCCGGAACAAAACAAAATAATAAGGAATCGCAATTTACAACCTACAGAATTACAATGGCAACTACTAATAACAGCCCAAGAAAATTTCTGTGGCGTAATGACTACTCAAAGACATTGCCTCCTGAGAACTGTAATAATCAAATGTACTTGGTCCAAAATTTAGTACCAAATTATGTCCACCTTCCCCCCGATTACTGCAGACAGAGGTTTTTCTTACGTTATTTTCCCACGTATTTTATTTGAATGCCACAAGCAGCCCGAGAATAAAGGATGGGAGCAGTAAAAATGATCTCCCCTCCTCCTCCCCTCTTTGTACAGTAACTACGGCATCCGCAGATACACACTCGGCATTGTAAAGGGGAATACGCAGCAGCACTCCAAAGTGTTCCTCCAACTGAATCCAAGTAACATTTAGGATCCTTCCTCGCCCAAAAAACAGCCTTTCATTAATTCCCTCGGATTTATACATTCAACAAACAAACCGCTAAAACCTGACACCGGCGGACGATAAATATTTCTTCAGCCTTTTCAATAAGTGAACAGCGATTTTACATTCACTGATCTCTAGATACTTCAGTTAATATTTCCCCCTATTGTAAAATATGGGAGCGGATAACTAAAGCCCTGCCGTAGCACTCACTGCAAATCACGGGCTGCCGGTGTCTGGTGGTGAGGCTTTGACATACATATTGATGAAAGCTGCCTCATTGGACCCACACAACATATCCTATTAATTTTCAGTTAAATTTATGACATTTCAGCTATAGCGCTGGATCAGCATCACTCAAAATTTTACAGCAAGTCAAAGCGACGCGCAGGCAGACACCCACACGGAAGAGACAGGTACGCATGCCTGCACCTATATGGATCTCACAGCTACTGCACAGGTTGCACACATACATATAAGCTCTTGTAGTCATCCCCGTCTCTGGAAAACGGTGAGGATAAAGAGCAGCCTATCGACGGTTAAAATAGACATCATTTCTCCCTGCATTTGAATGACTCGCTGCCTCCTTCCTTGCCTTTAGATGAGCCGATCCTTAACCGTTACTTATCTTAAGATGATCTTTTACTGTAACACACCAACTTACTGACTACAAAACTGCAGACAGAGCACATGCTGCATCCAGAGCTAACCTAGAGCACCTCCGTATCCAGAGCTAACCTGTAACACCTCTTTCAGCCTAACAACTGATTTGGGGCATTTTTACGTTGCTACTGAATACGTATTTTCTGGTCTTTCACCAGAAAGAATCAGTTCCCTCAACGCCTGCGTATTTTTCTAAAGGCAGCCTCTGTCCTTTTTTTTTCATTAATTACACACTCGTATCTTTTTGCATTTCGCATTCTTGCACAGAAATCAGATATAAAATATCAGCATTCGAAGAGCCCAAGGTTCACTGCAGGGGCCTTCCAGAAACCTGAACTCCACAGCTCACTCCAAGACCCTCACCGGTGACTTTACTGCCAGACCCCACAAACTCCTGGACAGGGGTCACTCCAGCTATTGCCACACTTCTTTGGGATAACGAGGGAGCTAAACTCATCCACGTGAAAGGGGAGACGAAAACACGAAGGGGAGGGACAGCGCGAGACCCCGTAACTCCTGGTGCTCCTTTCCCGCCTCCCACAGCCAGGCTGCATTTCCCACCACAGGGAACAACCAGGGGACCCCAGCGCCCATCGGCTCCGTCCCGGCCGGGGACGCGCAGGAGAAGACCTGTGCTCTCGGACCGCTCGTCCGCGGGCACGGCTGGGCACCACCGCGCAGAAAACTTGGGGCCGGAGATGCCCGGACGACCGCAGCTCAGTCTCTACTCACAACAGCGCTCGTGGCTTGCACCACGGACCCGAGCCCGCTCCCAGCCAGGCCCACCCGCACAGCAAAGGCGATCCCTGCGTGTAAGAGCGAGCAGGATCAGGCCCCTGCCGATGTGCCCCTCTCCTTACCCATTGCCCTCCGCTCACCGAACCATTTAAAGTCAGTTAAAAACCACAGCCTTTTCTGAATTAACGGCCCCGTGACACCGTGCGAGGCCAAATCCTGCTCACTTCACATCACCCGCGCCACGCGAAAGCGTGATTTGGCTCGCCGAGTCTCCCGCGCCAAACGAGTACCAGAGCAAAACCCTCAGCCGAGGAGGTTTCCCCACGTGCAGAACTCGCCGCCGTGGCCATCCCTCCGGCCGAGGGACCTATTCAGGACCACGGGGAGGAGAGCGGGTTTAATTCTTGCTTGACAGATACTGTGTTTTGTCTTTTCAACAGAGCGGCGCCGTACGTAAATACAGCGTTACATCATACCGCCGCTCCTCCATATTTGGTGATTTAGTATGGCTCCAGAGCTCGGAAGACTACAAATCCCTTCCGCCAGGCTCCCGCTTCATTAATCATGCCCTACGCTTCTGCTCGTTTTCCATCAGATCACAGGCAGCACATGGAAATGGGCACTGCCCTCTACCACTCCGGGGGGGGGGAAAAAAAACCACCTTTAACGTCCATGGCTGGGAAGTGCAATATGCGGAATTATTGGGTTTTTTAAGTCTCATTCAAAACACAGCTTAGCAGTAGCTGAGCCTCTGTTTCCTCTTAAACATACATATATACATGTATTCAAAGCAATACCTATTACTCCGCGGAAACAGTATATATTCATTCACACGCCGTATGCGTGTGGACGCACATGGCTTTGCATACACACATGCGCACAGACACAGGCGCACCGATACATATTTGCTGCCACCGCAACAGCCTCAAAACTACAGCTCTCCAGCGTGATTTGCCGGCTGGTTTGGAGGCCGGGGAGGCTGCGGGAGTATCGCGGTGAACCTCCCAGCGCCTACTGCCCTATTATGGTTTAACTTCGTGGCCAAAGCAAGCCCAAGACAAGCTCCAGCACATCGTGTGATGATGTACTGCGCCTCTGACAACCCTGAGCGGTCCTGTGGGCTCCCCAAAGAGGGGTACCGGCAGTGCCGCATCCCAAACATCGCTGGGAAGGGGGGTTTGAAAGTGGTTCAGGCATTTGTTGGTGTTGATACGCTGCGGTCTCGCCTTTTTCGACCAGTAGCGTTGGCGCGGTTTGAAGTGATTTGCAACGCTCGCTGCAAATGGGTAGTACTCTTGTTTACTAGCAGGATTTTAAAAGCAGAGCGTGCCTTGTTACGCTCCCAGGGCTCTGGGATTTTCTTTCACGTAGTACGCTCTATTTTTTAACCTTATTTGTGAAAGTATCTGCACGGCAAATGGCTTTCCGGTTTAAAAAAAAAAAAAAAAAAAATGCTAAGAAATGGAATTATTTACCCTTTTTTTTTAAATTACATTTTATATTGTTTGTTGCACAAAACAGAACTCTGCCTTGGACATTTGTACGGCTGACATGTGGTTGTGTAAACCGCAAACAAAATCAAGATACATCTGTCAAAACCACATCAGAGACAAGAGAGAGCACAGCGAAGCATTTATCATTTGGCTGAGGAGGCAGGCTGCAGAGAGCGGCCTTTCCTGTCAAACCAACCTTTTGAAATTTCCAACATGCCCTTAAACTTTTCGAATAAGCATGTCTGTGCGCTTCAGCAACTGCCCTCTCTACTCTGGCCTGGCCAGTCGAAAATGGCATCTTAAAGTCAAGGTCGGTGGTGTCACTTTGCCATGGGGCTGTGTTTAATTACAGTCCATACGCTGACAGCCAATATGGAACCAAGGCTGGCTGATGCTCGGTTAACTCTTTCACCCCTGACTTTGCCAAAGACTCGAAAGCTCCTCGCTTTATCGCGTGGCAGGCTCTGAAATCTCCTCCTGCAGCGCTACGGCAGGCGAGACACTGGGAGACGGTGACTACAATACAGGCAAATCACGAGAGCGGCCTCAAACAATACTGTTAGAAATACCGGCTGGCACGGCACGTGCCTGTTGATCCTGCCTCTGCGCAGGCACTAGGAAATACCGGTCGTGCGCTCACCGCTAACCGAAGGCAGGGTATTTAACACGTCGGCCGTCACGGCGAGCAGAACAGAGAGACAGACACAGCAGTTTACAACTGCGAACATGCTACGTTGCAACTGAAACGGAAATGAACTCGCAAACACTTCTCCTTGCTTTAATTTACCTGCTATATGTTCCTGTTTAGGGCAAATTCCTCTAGATGACGTTGATAAACAATCGTCATCCTCTGGCGTAACCTGGATGCCAACCTCCACAGGATTGGATGCTTTTTTCAGCTCACTTGGTGAGGGTGAAGGTGGCTTATCCACAGCCTTCTCTAAGCAGAGACTGCCATTGCATTGTTTCCGTTTGTGCTCAATAAAAATAAGAATGTCCCCCAACGGGAAGTTCATCTGACACTGGCCACAAGTGAGGAGGTCGTGGTCCCCTTCCGGAGCTCCCAATGTGCCATGTTCAGGTTCGTCATCAGTGAGAATGGCTTCAAGAGGTTCGGCTGCAGTTTGAGAAACAAAAGGAGAATCATTAGAGCTCTCGGGAAAGGCACCGGGCGCGGGGGGGGGAAGGAACGCGCCGAGCCCCCTCTTCATGAATATTACACCCTGCTCACAACGTCCGCCTGCTCCCCCCCCAACTAAACCCATGCAACACGGCTATTAGCACGGCAGCGAGGAGATGAATTCATCAGTTACAGGGAAGAGATTTTGCAGAAGCAGCTGTAGCACGCAGAACTCGGAGAGCGAGCACTGCAACTGGCTCTGTGTTCCTACATGAGGACAAATTTCTGACTCGACTGAAAGATTCAGTGGTAAAATTAAATGGATAGGCTGAAAGAATACGCTGCAAAACTCTTGTGGCACTACGAAGAGAAGCAAATATGGTGTTTTACTGCCAGATGTATTATTTATGTATATGAATTCAAGGCTAAAAGCACGGCACACACTCTCTCACACACATACGGGTGTGTATTTTCCACCAGCCAGACCTAGTTTCTAAAATTCAGAAGCCTGACCTACGCGGGTGCGGGTGCAGGCAAAAGGTGTTTCAACATATAGACGTTGCATATTCCCCATACAGGCCGTGCAGGTAGCACGCGTGTGTGTAAAAGAGCAGAGAGGGAGAGCCAGACCGCATGGCCGCACACACCCAGGCACCGACACACGCGACACATCTAGCCCTTGTAACGCACGTGCGTACGTATACGTATGTATTTGTGTCGCTATCCCTACCAGGCCGTTTGCGGCTTCCAATTTAAAAATTCGAAAGCCGGGAGTTATTCGTGGGGGAGGGAGGGGACGAGACAAATAAATAAATAAATGGCAGAAACCGAACGATAAAAAGCAAGTGCAGCAGAAATGCCTGCGGGGCGGGGGGAGGCACCTCTCACTTTTCAGCTACTCCTCAGGATTCAAATAAATATCAAATTCACAACCGATTCCACCCAGAGATATTGGCTAGATGGGACATTTTTTTTAGTACTTAAGGAAACAAGGCAAATAGTCATTTTTCCTTTTTCATCCTGAGATAAAGGAATGCCTAAATTATCCTCAACGTGTTAGCACTGGTGGCCCTCAGCATCTAAAAATCAGCGTGGCCAAGCGACTGCCACATTTCCTCGCAACAGTGAGAAGTGCCTTCTTTAGACTCAAAATACCTTGCCTAATGTTGTCAAAGTTGACAAATTTTCTGAATGAGCTCCAAAAAGCTTCATTATGAGGCTATTTCTGCTCACAGAATCGTCAGTGGATGCTCTAACGAGGCAGACGCGGCTCTCTCTTCTGTTGGCTTTTTTTTTTTTTTTTTTTTTTTTTTTGGTTAAGTTAGCAGAGAAATACCTTGGCAATCTGTGTGCAGTCACCATCACCATTGCCTTTCACGAGGGGGAAAAAAAAAATAAAAATAAATACCAGCAGCGTGTCGGTACTCCTCTACCTGCGCAATACAACACGCACGCTAGCAGCAGCGAGCAGGAGGAGAGGGTACTACAAATACAACCCACCTCAAAACACTGCCAGGTAACGCAAGTGAGACAGAATACAACTCCTAAACAGTTAATCAGCCTGACCTTCTTTAGCTGGCTGCCAATTTCACATTTAATGAACTTAAAGCCACAGAGAATCAAAAAATAGATTTTAATTTGACTGCACGATATTGGAACAGATTTTGATAAAGTGCAAAAATCCAGTGAACTCAGGTTAAATTTATTTCAACCCTACCTAGGCTGAATATTGAGGAGGAAGATCTGGAGTAGCTCCCAGTTGTGCTGCGTAAAATAATATTGAAAGAGCACACTACCTCGCCGTACCTCAGCTCCAACTAGGACACAGGGATCCAGTCCATCATTTCTCGCCTCTAGTACTACTTCTAATTTAACGTAAGGTCAACCACAGGAATATGAAGGTTACATTCGTATTAATAAAAACAATGTCTTAATCGCTGGGGTTTTCTTCTAAACTTACAGACCGACAAGATAAGACACACAACGTGCACTCCGCGCTCCTCGGGAAGCCGGGAGAGGAGCAGGGTGTTTCTGCGGGATTGCTGGGCATGGCGTTTTTCTCCCCAGCCGTTCCTCGCGTTCGGACCGAGGGAGTAAATTATTGCGGGACTAATTCCACCAGTAGCTCGCTGCACGCCGCAGACAAAGGTATTTTGCAAATCTAACTTCTAGCTCACCAACTCTCCGCAGCAAAAGACACAAAATGACCCGTATTCCCCTTACAACTGGCTTAGCGAGGAGCTCTGCATAATCATTACTCAGTTATAATGTTTTCCCGCGGCCCGATTTCTTTCTGACGCTGTCAGTTATTATTTAGCAGGGGAAGGTAACCCGCTGCTTCGACACCAGACAGTTAAAAGTAGCGCTAAACAAAAATAGACTTTGCTAAAGTCTGTACCGACCGGGCTGATTTACAATCAAAACCAGGAAATGAAGTGGTAATTCAGAGGTTGCTGATTACACCTCCACATTTCACCTAATTAATTTTATAGGAGGCAAAGTTCTTGAAAATAACAAGATGATCAAATGTACAGATATAAAACCTGTAACCTCAACATTTTCTATGCTCTTAACGTAAATTATTGCTAATTAACAAGAATTATATACTAATGTATGAAATACGGCTGGCACCGTGTTCACTGCAAAACATTTGGCTCCTGATGGAGGCAGAGCCAGCAAAAATACGGTTTTATTATTACTGCTACTTTCAAAACAAAATATAAAATACGGGGTTTACAAGGAAAACGCCAAAATACAATTCACCTGGTCTCGCCACTGATTTGCAGGATGCGTCTTTTAATTCTGGGGCAATCAAAATTCCCTGCCTGGGTCCCTAATCATCCGTCCCTGTTTTTCATGCAAATTGCCCTTCCACCAACATGTCTTTTCAGCTTCCCCCCTTCGCCCTCCTACTCCCCCCTTCTTCCCCGTTCCCAGCCACCAAAACAACCGCACCGTCCGGCAAAAGCGGGATGGATTGATT